ACCCCCAAAAAACAAAATTAATAAATAAAAATCCCTATATTGCCCGTATAACGAAGAACATTTTTTATTTGGGGGGGGGGGTTCTTAAGCAAATAGCAGATAAGGGTTTAAGGGGTGTTGGGGGTATCCGATAAAGCGTACTGGAGGGTCTTGCACTGAAAGACCCAAAGAAGCTCTTCCTTGCATGAACAGGGGAATACAGGCCCCTTTCAGCCACCCTAAACCCTAACCCTAAACCCTAAACCCTAAACCCTAAACCCTAAACCCTAAACCCTAAACCCTAAACCCTAAGCCCCTTAACTTGGAACCCTATTAGACCCTAAACCCTGAGCCCTAAGCCCTAGACCTGGCCCAGGATTATCCTCGGAATAAAGAGCGGGCTTTTTGGTTGAAAGGGGCTTGTAAGGGAACCCAAACCCTCAACAAAAAGGAACAAGGGCCTACTCTGGGTCCTAAACCCTAAACCCTAAACCCTAAACCCTAAGCCCTAAACCCTAAACCCTAAACCCTAAGCCCCAAAAAGGGGAATAAGGGCCACCTCTGGCTCCCAAACCATCAACCCTGGAGGCCCCCAAACTTCAGGCTCCCGCTTCGGCAAGCCGAATCGCAAGTCCCGGGGCTGGTTTCGGGTTTCGGGTTTCGGGGTTTAGGTTTTAGGGTTGAGGGTTTAGGGTTTCGGGTTTAGGGTTTAGGGTTGAAGGTTTAGGGGTTGTAGCGGTTTTCGCGGTTTTAGGGGTTTTCGGGTTTAGGGTGTAAGGGTTTCCCGAAGTCAGCTAGGAATGAAAAGGGCACGCTTGCATAAGGGATCCCGACCCCCTAAAACAAGGGAATAGGGTTCCATTCTGGGTCCTAGAAGACATTGCCCTAAACCCTTTTAAACCCTAAACGCTAAACCCTAGACGCCAAACCCTAAACCGTAAACCGTAAACCGTAAACCCTAAACCCTAAACCGCAGGGCTTCGGGTCCAATTAGGGCGTTCGTGGGGGTCTTGTGGCCTGTCGGGCGCAGGATGCAGACACCCGCATCTTCCCGCGAGCGCCTGGAGGACGTTGGTGGCTTAGGGTTCAGGGTTCAGGGTTCAGGGTTCAGGGTTCAGGGTTCAGGGTTGAGGGTTGAGGGTTGAGGGTTCAGGGTTTAGGGTTTTGGGATTAGGGATTAGTGTTTAGGGTTTAGGGTGTAGGGTGTAGGGGTTAGGGTTTGTGTCTAGGGTTTAGGGTTTAGGGGTCAGGGTTTAGGGTTTACGGGGACGTATGCATTTTTGGCTGTAGCTACCGAGCTACGGTATGGGAATCCTACAGGTATATTATTAGATAGGTACACGGAGCCTTAGGGGTTGGTGGGTTACGGGACTCTCGACATTCTGGGCCTTTTGGGTAACCTAGGGTTTAGGGCTTAGGGGGTGGGGTTTGGGGCTCAGTCTTCCAGGCCCCCAAAAGAGACCACGAACTAGAGAAGCCCCGCCCCCACCCACTTAGGCTTTGGGGTTGAAGGTCTCGGGCAAGTGAAGCCAATGAAGCCTCAAACTGCCTCTCTTTGGTGACCTGGCTTTCGAAGGGGCCAAACAACACAAAGCCTGAAACCCAAGACCCGGCAAAAGGACACCAGGGTACCGCCAAAGTGCTAAACGCCGGGGGGAGATCGCTTAACGCGAAGGACGTCGCCCAAAGCCTTATAGCCCCTGAGCCCGTATACCCAGGGACCTTCAAAACCAACGCCACTTCGGGTATCGGGCTGAGGCATGGTTTAGAGTTTTGGGTTCAGGGTAGGCTCGTCAGGGAACCTGAGCCTTACGGGGAGTAAGGATACCACTGGGCATCCCTTAGAATACCTCAACCCTAAACCCGATTCCCTAAAAAGCCTTCATCCCGAAACACCTGAAGGGAGTTCCAGGGTACCTTACGTAAGGCTTCTTTAAGGGGTGTATAGTGGCGGACATATGAGAGAAACCGCCCACCTGAAAGGGACTGAGAGCTTAGGGTCAAGGGCTTAAGGCTTTCAAACTCTGAGGGCCTTTTGGGGGATTCTCAGCCAACCTGCACAAGTGGGCCCTAAACCCTAAATCCTAAACCCCCCAAAACAAAACAAAACATGAACCCTAACGCTGGTCTTGCTGGCGAGGCACCCAGCTCAGCAGAATCAGCAGCCTTTGTGTTGTTTAGGGTTTAGGGTTTTGGGTTTAGGGCTTGGGGTTTGGGGTTTAGGGTTTAGGGTTTGGGCCCAGCATTTTGGTCCGTGCCCGGGTGTAGGGTTTAAGCTTTACGGTCAGTGCTCTTCGGGAGAATCCTAAGAAAGGCCCTCTTAAACCCAAGCAAAAAGCACTCATGTCTGATACAATGCGACTGTAACACGTCGAAAACATCGTGATTCACACTGCATCCTTACATACTCTTGCTGCAGAACGCGTCCCCATGAGGGCCTGAGTGTGTGTTTTTTCAACTGGATCCTAGGGTCCACCTTGAATACCTTGAACCCCTGATAACGGATAAGGCTGATGTAAGGGTTTAGGGTTTAGGGGTTTAGGGTTTTGGAATTCTTGGGCCTTATTATTCTGTGCCAGCAGGTAGCAGAAGCAGCTGCGTCCAGTAGCCTCCGGCCCAAGCGGCGCAGAACCTTCTCGCGGAGCGGTTGCTATGGGCTTGGCGAATAGAGCGTACAGTATGGGTTTGGAGTGGTCCCCCTACGTCCCTTTTATAGAACCAGCTGCTGTAGTTCCAGCGCCCCGAAGTAGATCTCCTGTAGGCCAGCTTGCACATCCCAGGGCGCAGGGCTACGGCTTATGCAAAGTGATGTAGGGCAGCACGGGGGATGTCACGGTCTTGTTTTGTCCCCGTGTAAGAAGCCTGTCATTTCATAGGCAGTGCTGCTCGGCGAAAAGGCCCCAAGCCCTGCGTTCGCCAGCCTGAACACCCCTCAAACCCTCCCAACAAACCCTAGTAGCCCTAACCCCAGCCTACAAACCCGAACCCTAACCATGAACCGTAAACCTTAAACCCCTGAACCCTTAACCCCTAAACCCCGAAACCCCTAAACCTTGAACCCTTTATCCCTATAAACCCCTCAACCCCTAAAAAACCCGAAACCCGGAACCCTTAACCCCTCAACCCCGACACCCCCAAACCCTGAACCCTTATAAATCCTCCGACATGTCAGGGAGCTCCCGTTGTAGGGTTCTTCAGTTCCCTGGGTACCTGCCCCCATGAACCACCCTCCCTTCAGAACCCTAAACCCTAAACCCCAAGCCCTCAACCCTAAACCCTATAGAATCCCAGGTGTCCCCGCAAAGCTGGGACCGCCAGCGACCATGGCCCGTCGACGGGGACCTAGAGGAAACAAGCATGGCTTTAGGGTGTAGGGTTTGGGGCTTGGGGGGTTGGGGTTTAGGGTTTTTGGTTTAGGGCTTAGAGTTTAGGGGTTACGGTTGAGGGCTTTTAGAAGTAGACGCATCTGGGAATTCAAAGGAAGCGAACTAAATGGTCTTAGGGACCAGGGAATGTTTAGGTTTAAAGTAGGGTGTAGGTGTAGGTGTAGGGGCAGGTTTTAAGACACAAGGATGATCTGGGATTCGGGTTTGGGGTCTCAAGGGGATTCTGAGAGGCAACGATGTTTGGGGCTTTAATTTATGGGTCAGGGGGGCCGGGGGGGGGGGGGGGGGGGGGGGGGGGGGGGGCGGCTGCAGAAAGAAAATCATCAAGATGTTCAGGGTTTTTGGGGGGTGGGCTCAGAGCTGGGGAGTGTTTGGGTTTGGAGATCTAGGTGGGTGTTTGAGGGGGACTGGGGTTGAGGCGGTTTGGAGTGTTGCAGGGTTCGTGTTTCTGTTAAACGGGTGTAGTTCAGAGGGATGAAGAACGACCCTAAACCCTAAACCCTAAATAAACCCCAAATAAACCTAAACCCTAAACCCAAGACCCCAAAACGGCATTTGGAGGTTGTGGTGGCACCGAAAACATTGGGGGTTAGGGCTTCGGGAAATGGGGCCCAAGTGGGGTTTGGGCGGCCTTGCGATGCCCTCCGCAGCCACATACAAGAACTCGCCCCTCACTTTGCATATGCACGTGCATATGTATATATATATATATATATATATACGTGTCTATGGTAATTATATTGCAATGCAAGCAATAGAGGGCTTGTTTTTTGGGGTGCGGGAGGCACATTTTACGAGGAGAGGGGGTCGGGCATCTTCGGCTCTCGGTGATCCACGGGCACTTGGAGGCCATGGGATGTATATGGGTTTAGGGTTTAGGGTTTAGGGTTTAGGGTTTAGGGTTTAGGGTTTAGGGTTTAGGGTTTGTACCTATAACCCACTTATAAGCCCCTCAAGTGCGTACACTTATAAGTACAGCTTTAATTTGGTAATAATAAGTACCATGAACCTCCAAGCAACTCAGGCTGTTTTTCCTCCCGCCGCAGCTTTAGCCTCCTGCGTCGGTGTTGAGCTCTCTGCTCTGCAAGACGCCATCCTGGAGAGCATGCCAGGGGGTGGGAGAAGAATGCACTTTGGAGGTATAACACCCTAAACCCTAAACCCTAAACCCTAAACCCTATACTCTTGGGGTCGTCATCTTGGCCGTCCATACTCCTATTCACTGATTATAGCGGGGAGGGAAAGGCGTCCTCGTAGAACCACTGCGTCACCGGCACGCCGATCTGGGCCTAGGGTTTAGGGTTTAGGGTTTAGGGTTCCCCCACAACCCCATTCCAAATACTCCCATAATAGTTGTATTAGGGTAAAAATGAGGGGGCGGAAGTATTTAATGTGTTATACAATATTAGGGGGAGGTTATTAGCACCGAACCTTGTGCTAGACAGTTCAGCTGGGTCTGGGTCCTTGAAAATTTAGGCACCCTATATACCCCTATTTCGTTCCCTTGAAGGGATGATATAGGGTACACAACTCCCTAATCCCTGAACCCTGAACAAGAGTAACCTAGGTATGACAAGGTCACCCTTTTTGGAGGATTATAAGAGAACCAAGACCCTAAAAAAAGGCAATAGGGGCCTACTCTGGGCCTACTCTGGGTCCAACTGAGAACCAGTAAAGTGTGGGGTGCGGCGCCTTGCCATCGTTGCGAACCAGCTTGCCCTCCCTCCGTCGCCGATCGAAGATCTCTGCATTCCTCGCCTTGCGAACGCACGAGCACGTATGAGGTTCAGGGTGTAGGGTTTATAAGGCTTAGGGCTCTCCCAAAATAGGGTGCCCTCGCAAAAGAACTCCCAAAACAATATTGCCGCCAAGAAACGTTCATTTGTCCCCAAGTGGGTTTCCTTGGTAGCCCAGTACCCATCTTCTGACAAGGTTGCCCTTTTTGGGGTTAACTACGTTTATAAAGGGAGCTCCGAAGCACAACAAGGGCCAAAGGGTACCAGTGGGCTAGCAAGTCTCCTGAGATCGGCGTCCGGCTTGCAATGTTCCACCTTCTGAGCCTGGGAGTTGAGTATGGCCTGTGACAGAGCGCGGCAACCTCCTTTCGAATGGGTGCCGCGCCCAAGTGACTTCAAGCGCCTAGGTTGGGGCATGAGACACTCGAAATAAGACCGCCTGAGCCCAAGAAACCCTAAACCCTAAACCCTAAACCCTAAACCCTAAACCCTAAACCCTAAACCCTAAACCCTAAACCCTAGCCCTAAACCCAAAGAGGATCCCAAGGTCCCACCTAGGCGCAAGACTAAGTCCGTGTCTTGGCAACCCATCGGCCAGGCATCTTCATCCTAGGTTGGCCCCCTAAACCCTCCAACCCTAAACCCTACACCCTAAACCCTAAACCTCCGAAACATGATCCTCTGCAACCCCATAAGCCCCAAACCCCCATTAAGGGGAAAAATCTAAAACCTCCCAAGGGCGTACCGAGCATCGTAGCCTCTGATCTCCATGAAATCCACCCTCTTGGCCGCGATGCGCCCGCAAGTGCCTTGGCCATGCTCATACTGGGCCACTGCGGCGCCCTCTTCAAAGCGTTTGCAGACGTCCTGCTGCGGTTTAGGGTTTAGGGGTTTAGGGATTTAGGGGGTTTAGGGTTTAGGGCTTAGGGTTTTTAAGGGTTTAGGGGGGGAGGTCCTGCAGGAATTCGGCGCCGATGAGGTTGTCGCTGTCGACGTTCACGAGGATGTCTTCGTCGGCGACGCGGTGCGCAGTGTTCTTCCCTACTGACGCATGCCAGAACTCCTCCTTTGCGCGATAGACGCACAGCAGACCTGCTTCCATGGCAAACCGACAGCTGTTCACCAGAAAACTGAACGTGTTGTTGTCTTTACTTCCCAGGTCCACCACATGAACCTTGCATGAGCCACGATACGGCCAGGCATGCATGAGCGTCAGCGGCAAGGCCCTGCGGATCTGCCAGAAACGATTCATGGTGGCCGTGCAGAGTCCGACCGTGTAGGGAAGACTCCTCCTCACCGCTTTGACATCTCTTAGGTACCGCCATGCCTCGTCCAGCTGTGGAAGTAAGCCGTGCTGGATCACCCACAAGGCCGCCTTCTCGATGCTCTTGAGAAAGGCGCCGTCCCAAATCTCGGTTCCGCCTTTCTTGGCTGGCTGGTCTGGCACCCAGCGCACGTGGTCCGTCGTGCTGCACTCAGGGTCCAGAGACCACACGCCCGGCGCCTCGCACGAGCCGCTCGGAGTGCAGGCCAGCTGAATCCGAGGCAGGTCTCCCTTAACAAGTCGGACGAATCCCACACGGCACCTCCTCTCCTCCTCCCAAACCTCGAGCACGGCTCGGGCCCGGCAGGGCGCCTTCTTGCGGCCCTTTGCCTGTCCAGGCTCCCCGTTCTCTTTCCGGCGGACTTGTACCAAGCCCCAGGTGGAACTGCAAAACCGCCCCTGTAGTTTCTCCAACAAAGCCCAATCTTCGCTCTCCGGCGATGGCTCTGCCATTGCGGGGTGTCCGAAATTCGAGGGTGCCCTGTTGGGGTCCTGTTTGTTCAAGGGAATCTGCAGAATCCTACTACTTGGGGGGGTCTATGTTAAGGATTCCCTTGTTTTCGCAAACCAAGTTTCGGATGAAAAGTAGCGTAGACTAACCTCCAGTTGCCCATGTTGCCCCAATGCCATGAGAGGGCCTAGCTGCTCGTGCCCAAGCAGGTTATTCACGTTGGGTGACTACTGCAAAGCAAACTGTAGGTTCTGATTATGCAGCAACAACATGCACGAATCCATGCTGATACAGCGGTGTGATTACGAAAACACGGTTACCGTGACCCGCATGAATGGCAGCTTAGCGGTAGCCACGAACAAAAACAGAGGCACACCGTCCGAGGCCCCAGCTGAAATCAACGCGTGCTCCGCTTTCACACGGGGTTCCATGTTCAAGGCGGGCGAGAACTGTCTTACTGGGTTGTTAGATACTTAACAAGGGGACCTTGAATCACAAAAAAGGAAAAGGGTACCACTGACCAAGCTTATATACACCAGGAGCGTTGATGTATCAAGAGCAAACTGGTCATGGCATTCGTGGGCGGCCTGCCGCAGGGCGCGGCTTCCCTTGGTGTTCTGGGGTCCCAAAATGCAGGCCTTTTGGGTCTCAAGGTACGTAGGGCCGCAGGCCGTGGGCTTAGTGTTCAGGGTTCAGGGTCTGGGGCTTAGGGTCGGGTTTAGGGGCAGGGCTTTGGGGCTGTAGAGCGTTAGGAGTGAGGTCGTGTAGCTAGGATTCATTGCATGGTTTAGGGTTGAGGGCTCAGTGCTGAAGTGCTACAATTCCGGATGCCGAGAATAAACCAGATCAAACGGATCTCGTTAAATCCTAAACCCTAAACCCTAAACCCTAAACCCTAAACCCTAAACCCTAAACCCTAAACCCTAAACCCTAAACCCTAAACCCCTAGATCCCTGAAACTGGTGAGCCGTGGTGGCGGCGCAGCAGGCAAAACTCAACTCGAAGCTCCCAAAACCCTTCAAAACCTACTGTACTCAAATGTGAACCACCCAAAAGCCCAAAAGCCCTAAACCCTAAACCCTAAACCCTAAACCCTAAACCCTAAACCCTAAACCCTAAAACCCTCAACCCCCACAACCCGTAGACCCACAACTCCTCAACCCTGCAAGCCTTGACTTCCAAACCCTAAACCCTAAACCCTAAACCCAAAACCCAAAACCCTAAACCCTAAACCCTAAACCCCCCCCCCCCCCCAAAAAAATAAACTTCAAAGCCATGCCCGAGGTTGCTTCGAGGCGTAAGGCTTCAGGGTTCAAGGGTTCAAGGGCTCAAGGGTTAAAGGGGAATAAGGCTACTGCTGGGCATCTCGGGTTTAACTAGTTTAGGGTATAAGGTTACACGAAAACCGGAAGGTTTAGGGTTTAGGGTTTAGGGTTTAGGGTTTAGGGTTTAGGGTTTAGGGTTTAGGGTTTAGGGTTTAGGGTTTAGGGTTTAGGGTTTAGGGTTTAGGGTTTAGGGTTTAGGGTTTAGGGTTTAGGGTTTAGGGCAACACCACTACGAAAGCAGCAAACGGCGTTGTTCGACGCAACCCGATGTGCGGCGCCGCTTCAGGACGCACTGGACCTGGGATGTGGTTCGAGAGAACAAACCGATATTACGCTCGACGAATGAAAATGATAGTCCTGATAAACAATAGTGAACATAACAAATAAAACTAGTAGCAATTAGCTTCAGAACATACACCTAAATCATAGCAACAATACAAGCTTATCACGGAAATAAAGGTGGTGATAGCAAAAAACGTCGTACGTGTGAGAATAATTACAGCAGTCCAAAGCCTTCACCAACACAAACGCTTACCCTGAGCTCTAAACGCAACCTCGAAAAAGGTGTAACTGCCCTAGGAATTGGGGCTTCGGGTGGGTTTGGAGGCAGGACTCAGGTGTAGGGCAAGACATGTTTAGAGATTCAGGCATGTGCTCAGGGTGAGACCCTAAACCCTTAAACGCCCAAACCAAGGCACAACGGCGGGGATCGACGCCTGGCGCTGGAGAGCTTAGGGGTTTGGGATTTCTACGGTGTGGGTGGCTATTGGGGGCTCTGAACTCTAGACCCTCCATATAAGGGGAGGTCAGGGTTCAGGGTTCAGGGTTCAGGGTTTAGGGCTTAGGAATTTATATGGTCCCTCGATCTGGTCCCGTACCTTCTTTAGAGGCTTCTGAATTATGGGCCCTTGGGCGTGGTAGGGTATATAAGGGGCATGTTACTGGGGTCCTAATTTAAGGGCCGAAGAAAAAGGATTATGTAACCCTAAACCCCAAACCCCAAACCCTAAACCCTAAACCCTAAACCACCCTATGAATGCCTAAACGACAGAACCCTGGCCCCGAATCCATCTCGCTCCAAGAGCCCAAGGCCACCGTCCTTTACTGCAGTCTTCTTAAGGACCCTCAATTTGCCCTAAATGAAATTAGGGTTTAGAGAGGCTTAGGGTTTAGGGTTTAGGGTTTAGGGTTTAGGGTTTAGGGTTTAGGGTTTAGGGTTACCACAATAAGGAAGCAATACTATGTACTATAACCATATGCTTGTAACTTAAGGACCCTATATTGAACTGTCACAACAAGGCAGCCACGCAAAGGTACTAGAACCCCATGATGGCAACTTGATGTAAAAACTGGCTCACACCCTACATCATTTTACTATGTGGGGATTTCATTCCCGTGCTTTTCTAATTCGGATGGTTGTTGGGTTCCTGGGCCTTGGCAAAAACAAAAAAAAACACAGAGCCATGCCGAGCCAAGCCAAGCCACACCTCGGCAAAAATGAATAAACTCTCTTCAACAAGTGGGTGTTGATGTTCTGTTTAATGAAGCCCTTGACCCTTAACCCTAAACCTAAGTTTGCCCTTTAAACCCAACATATCCGCCCAAGGACCGACCCAGAAACCCTAACCCTTCCTTAAGAACCTCAAACTCAAGAATCCTATAAGGGTTGTATAATAAGAACCTACGAAAAAGTGGGAGTTTTGTGTTCTGAACCCTCCCAAGAGTAAACTGGACATACAAAGGGTGAACTCTTCAGGTTAAAGGGGTTTCTATGGGGACCTAACCCAAAAAAAGGCAACACGGGCGTGCTCCGGGTCCTAAACCCCAAACCCCAAACCCTAAACCCCTAAACCCTGAAACCTGAAAAGAGTGGAATAAGTGCTAACTCTGGGTCCTAGTAGCCCTTAACTCCTCGTGCTAGGGCACTTCAGGGGCTTATAAGTTCTAAGTACAGATATAACTGGTTAAGAAGTACCCCTAAACCCCTAACCCTAAACCCTGAACACCTTTAAAGTACAGTTATCATTGGTTAAGAAGTACCATGAACCTCCAAGTAACTACTCGTGCAGCCGAGCGTCCTTCAAGTCAGGCTCCCCTTCGCATCCCCGACCTCCGCATCCTCGCGACAGCGGCTTTGGGGGGGCGCAGCGGGCTTGGAGCCCTAAACCCTAAACCCTCAACCCTAGACCCTAAACCCATCTAAACCCTAAACCCTGAACCCTGAACCCTAAACCCTAAACCCTAAACCCTAAACCCTAAACCCTAAACCCCTAAGAGGCTTGGAACTTAGGGCTTTGGAGCTAGGGCTTGGATGGTTTCAAGAGCGCGGGACTTGGGTGTAGGGGTACCCCTTGTCCCCGCAAAGCTTGCGGGTTTAGGGAATTTTAGGGTTTAGGGTTTAGGGTTTAGGGTTTAGGGTTTAGGGTTTAGGGTTTAGGGTTTAGGGTTTAGGGGCTTAGGGGTTTCGTAAGGCCGCCTTGCCCCAGCTAAGAACCGTTTATAGGGCTGGGGCACGCCGGCCACCAAGAAGGCGCTTCCGAAGGAAGCTACTCTAGGAGGGCCTTAATAATTAGAAAAAAGGCTTTTAGGTGAGGGCGGGGGGGGGGGGGGGGGGGGGGACTCTAAACCCTAAACCCTAAGCCCTAAACCATAAGCTAGGAGGAGTCCTAAAAAAAACCCTCTGAACATATATTCCTGAATGTGATCCTCTTAAAGCCCAACAAAGGAAAACATCAACTGTCCCACGGGCCTACCGAGCAAGGGAACACTTTTAGTAAGTTATTCCGACCCTTGGAGGTTCATGGTACTTGTATAACTGTACTTATAACCATATTAGGGCACTTGAGGGGCTTATCATTGGGCTATAAGTACAGTTACAACTGGTTAACCTAAACCCTAAACCCTAAACCCTAAACCCTAAACCCTAAACCCTAAACCCAGTACCATGAACCTCCAAGCATGACACACGTCCCTGCGCCTCATTCCGAAGTTTGGAATCGAGCTTGATCTGCCTGGGACTGCGCAGCAGGGACCGATGCACGGCGGCATCTTGAGACAGCTACATGATTCTGCTATGTAGTAACTGTTGTAGTAGCTTTTGTAGCAGCTCTTGTAGTAGTAGGAGTAGTAGTAGCAGTAGTAGCAGTAGTAGTAGTAGTAGTAGTAGTAGTAGCAGTAGTAGTAGTAGTAGTAGCAGCAGTAGTAGTAGTAGTAGTAGCAGCAGCAGCAGCAGCAGTAGTAGTAGTAGTAGTAGTAGTAGTAGTAGTAGTAGTAGTAGTAGTAGTAGTAGTAGTAGTAGTAGTAGTAGTAGTAGATGATGATGATGGTCATGAACTTGTGATATTTTTATATGAGTAACCCATGCCAAGAGTTTCATTTCTATAAGGTCAAAACTTCCTATTAGGGGCCACTCCCTAAACAACAAGGGGTTGACCCTTAGCCTACAGTAGGTGGAAGATCTTCAGGGCTGTTGAGGGGGGGGCCACGAGAGGGTTCAAGAGAAGAGGCACTACATTATAGGGATCTGCGGGCTCAGGGCTTTGGGGGCTGAGAGTGGCTCACAGGTTTTCAGGGTTCCGGGGTGCTTTGGTTCAGGGTTTAGAGTGTCGGGCTGGGGTTTCTGCAGGCACGTATCGCCCCCTTCGGCAGCTTGAGTCGACTCTTAGGTTCTCGGCGGGCACATGATGTTTAAGATGTCGAGCACGGGGCCCCACACCTAAAGCGGCATAGCATTCCTGCAGACTTCCGATGCTCCTGTTTCCTGGGGCGGCAAGTAGGACACCAACGAAGATGCAACCAAGGATAAACAGCTGGGACGCAAGTGGGGGTTTACGAAAATAGGGGACCCCGAAAACAGACCCCAAATAGTACGATCCCCGTATAATAAGGCCCCAATACGGTAGCCGGGTGTCATCTTCAGGCGCTCGACCACATACTGCTGCTTTTTGCGGTATCTCGCCAGCTCCTGCACATGTGTGGTCCGCTTCGCCCCGCCCTATAAGGATAAACCGCCCCCCCCCCCCCCCCCAGAGAGGAGCCCAGCTTTTCTGCAGGACGTTTCATTCTACGCTGTTCTCTTATGCTGTATTTTCCCCCTTATAAGGGGATTAAAGTATCTATTGATCACTCTTCTGCTGTGTTATTGGATCAGACTGCAGATAATTACCCAGGCATGTGACACTCTGCCTGGCAGCTCACGGCCGATGCAGGGCATTTAGGATGCCCCAGGTGTTCAAAACGTGTCCACGCCGAAGAGAAAACAACCCTGCGTGTCTCGAACCAAGGGCTGAGATCTTAGGGTGCAGATTTTGGAGCTACATTATGTACAGACATGTACAAGACATTCTTATGTATGTATATATATATATATATATGTATGCATATATAGCAGAGCAGACACGCTGCATATATCTATATCTATCTATCTCTATATATATACATATATGAATATAATATAATATATATATACATAAAAAGAAAAAACAAACAAACAAAAAAACAAATAAATATATATATATATATATGCATATAATATATGCATGCACATGTGTGTCTTGCATGATACCTCATATGTCGGCTAGTCAAGAGGAAGCCACTTCTTCGGCGTCATGGCTTGCGGCCCCCCACACGTATTTCATGCGTCGATGAAGCTTCGAAGCGTGAATATATGGGTCGGAAACGTTACTAATGTCATTCCTTTAGGGTCCCTCGATATTTATACTAGAATGACCCCCAAAGCCCTATTCTAATCACTCAGGCCCCTATATTAAGGGGTAAGGGTTAAGGGTTAAGGGTTTAGGATTTAGGGTTTAGGGTGACAATGACCCCTCTCCCATATGAAGCCTGTCATCCTTCGTCCCGAAGGTGCCTCCCGCAGTGCCTGAACTTCGGCATCGGTCGCCTGCCTTGGCGGGGCCAAGATTCTGTTGCATGGAGCGTCGGTTGGGTTTAGGGTTTAGGGTTTGGGGTTTAGGGTTTAGGGTTCAGGGTTCAGGGTTCAGGGTTTAGAGCTTCGGTTGGGTTTAGGTTTAGGGTTTAGGGTTTAGGGTTCAGGGTTTAGGGTTTCGGGTTTAGGGTTTGGGGTTTGGGGTTTGGGGTTGGGGTTTGGGGTTTAGGGTTTGGGGTTTAGGATTGTGGGATTTGGGGTTTAGGGATGCCCTCGCCCCGAATCCTACATCCGAAGCCCTCAAGTTGATAGGAGCATCTCTAGCTCCAGGTCCTCCCTCAATCCGGGCTCAGGCTGGGTCTCGAAGCTTCCCTTACGGTTCCCAGGTAGGGACCCACAGAGAGGTGCACAAGATTGCAGGATTCCCTATGTCCCTACACCTCGAGCAGACAAAGGGATGTTTGGTTAAGGCTTCGGGACGCCCCAACATTAAACCCCTGGGTCAAAGGCCTTTCAACCTAAGCTGCCGATTTTTTTTTTAACCTAAGTTGCCGATTCGCACCTGGGGCCTGGGCGAGACAGAGGAAGTCGGCTTCGGGTCTTCGCCTTGTGAGGGCACCTCCGAAGGTTCGATACAGGAGAGCTCAAGGGCCTAAACCCTTAACCCTAAACCCAGGTCTTATAGTCTTATAGCCCCACAAGGGGCCCCCGAAACTACTTTTGTAGGTTGCCTAAGAATCCCATAGCCGATGGGCTTGTAATCAGACCCCTGCAAGACAGTCAGTTTTGGATTCTGGGGCTAAGGCGGCTAAGGTTCCGGGGTGTATATAGGAAAGACACACTCCATATTTCTGGGGCTTGAAAGTAACAAAACAAGAACATCATTCACAAGAAGAAAGCTCGAGGTTTGGGCCAACTCGTGGTGCTTAGGGTGTATATTAGTATATTAGTATTTTAGTATCTTAGTATATTAGTATTTTAGTATATTAGTATTTTAGTATACTCGTATATTGGTATATTGGTATATTGGTATAGTTGTTCTACTTTATATTATTATGGCTCCGGGGGTCTCTGCCATCACTCTCAGAGCTGCACTGCGCCATGGCCTAGCGACTGCCCACTCGATCAAACTCCAGAAATTAGGATGTTCCCTGTTCTCGCAACAGTCTTCGACCGGGCTTCTACTATTTCAGGGGCGGACTAGAACTACGAATACCTACTTTGGCTTCTGCTACTCAAACTTCGGGAGAAAAGTTATGACAGACCGAAGAGTCCAGCCCTAAACCCCAAACCCCAGACCCCAGACCCTAAACCCCAAGAGCTCCAAGAGCCCCCAAGAAGCCCCAAGAGCTTTCAAGATCCAGCTTCCATCGCAGCCTTGTCCTTGAGCCAGTCCTAGGGGCTCTCGGAGTTGTGTTTGAGTTGTTTCGGGGAGGGTTTAATAGGGTATTTAGGGTATATAGGGTATATAGGGTATATAGGGTAAAAAGGGTATAGGGTTTAGGTTCAGGATTTAGGGTTTAGGGTGGCAGCTGTAGCGTCTTAGGGCCCACGTCCACCTCTAGACTGAAGGCGGCTGCAGGGTTTTGGGGGGTTTCTGGCGGCTTCGAGCGCTGATCGGGCTTTTTTGGTGGTTCGCGGCCGATATTGCGGTTTTAGAGGCAAGGTTGATGTGGTTCAGGGTTCTGAGGGCTCTGTAGGGTCAACCTCGGGATGTCCCCCCTTGTGCTAAGAAGTCCTTGACAGGAATCATCGTACCCCTATTATGACCCCTATTAAGGACTGTTAGTATATTGGGGAGAATCCCAAGGTCAACCTCAAGAGGAGCTGCGAAGGACCCTGGAATGAAGCTTGGAACCCATGGACGTCGAATGTGCATCTGTTGTAACTGGTGTGCAACCCCCTTCGTTTTCAATAGGGCGTTCTAGAGAGAGAGAGAGAGAGAGAGAGAGAGAGAGAGAGAGAGAGACAGAGAGAGAGAGAGAGAGGGAGAGACCAGAGAGAGAGAGAGAGAGAGAGCGAGCCCTATGCAACCCTTGAAACCCTCATAGCCCAGAAAGCTGCCCCTTGAAAAGACCCTCCAAACGATCTCGAACGATGAGGGTTTAGTAATTTAGGGCTTAGCCTTTAGGGTTTAGCCGCCCTAAACCCTAAGCCCCAAGCCCCAAGCCCTAAACGCTAAAGTTTAGCCTTCCGCCCAGGATCCAGGGCCGCGATCTCCGTGGGGCAGCGGATCAGCTCGCAGCGCTGGGGCACCGATCGCCCCAGGGCCTTCTCGCTATGCGACTTTCTTATGAACGGCGGCTTAGAAGACTTCGTTTGTGGTACTGTTTTCTAATGGAAGTACTAGCACTACTAGATATATTCCCCAAGCAGCACTTGCTGCACTAATAACGATATCATAACGATTGTCTGGTTTCCGCGGCTTTCGCTCTAGGCGCGGGCGCCGGTACGTCCTTCAACCCAAAACCCGAAACCCGAAACCCTAAACCCTAGGTTACGTGCACGTGGTTCCCAAGGTTCCATGCACTTCTTTGTGCCTCAGATCGCCCCGATCTCGCGCACTTGCCAGCCACGCAATGTACCGTTCCAATACGTTGAGATCTTAAGGTGTTCTTATGCTGTTGCTTCAAAATCATACTATATCCCTGTATTCCTTTAACTCTTACATAAGCATGATCTTATGTCACTTATGAGAGTACATTTAGTTAAGAGATGACTAGCACAATATGTTACAGCAGCTCTTCAGGTGCAGGACTCTCGTCGCTTTGGGCCTGAGATGGTGCTCCCGCAAGGGGTGTTTGGGGTGTTGTGCCGTGTGCGATGCTTGGGGTATGTGCTACTTGTATCTTCAAACGTGTCTACTTCTACTACTTGTATTTGTTAATGTTGCTGCTAACTAGGGTTATTGCAGTGACTTCTTGATCTTCGTTGTTGCTCTTTTTTTTTGGGGGGGGGGGGGGGGGCGGGTGGTGGGGGGTGGAAAAAATGTTTAGATGGGTGTAGGGCTGGAGCTTTCGGGTTTCCGTGCTTGATCGGACTGCAACTCTAAACCCTCCACAAGTTAATAACTTATCTATCCTTACTAAGGATAGATAGGAGCCACAAAATGGGGTTTACGGCTCAAAACTGTATAGGGTCTAGGGTATGACCTCCCCCCCAACATCGGAACCCCAAGACCCTACATCAACTGGAGGATTGTGTTGGTACACCCAGCCCCGGAATACCCTTCAACCCTTTTTCAGCCCCTTAGCCTTCGAACCTCAGGCCCCCGGAAGTGCCTGCAAACAGTAATCTCTCAACCCTCAAAGCCGAGAGGTCAACCACGGACCCCGAAGCCCTTTGAAAACCCGAAGCCCTAAACCACCCCAAACCCGGACCCTAAACCCTAAACCATAAACCCTAAACCCTAAATCCTAAACCCTAAACCTTCCTTAGCCCTCTTCCGCAATCTGAAACGCCTCGTGTGCCGCGTCGTCCCCGCCGATGGAAAGAAGCAGGGGCCTGGTTGATCTTGGCTTGAGAGGGATCCAGTTCTCGGTTCAGGGTTTAGGGTTTAGGGCTTAGGGTTTAGGGTTTAGGGTTCAGGGTTCAGGGTCAGTTGAGGGGTTAGGGCTAATGTAGGGTGAAGCTGCCTTTGCAGGGGTTGCGCCTGGTGCCCCATAGTCATCAGCCGGCGTTCGTGGGCTGTGTAGCCAGGACTGAAGTGTGACTGCTCAGTTACATGCTCAAACTTTGACTTCCTAGGCACCCCCAGTGAGTCACCGGGGCTGTGTTTTAGGTACACAAAGTGCTGCCCAGAAGCCTCTCTCATCGGGCTGACGTGCATTGACTTTAACCCTGGGTTGGCCCTTTTAACTCTAAAGCCTAAACCCCGAAGCCCTAAACCCCTAAGACCTAAACCCTAAACCCTAAACCCTAAACCCTAAACCCTAAACCCTAAACCCTAAACCCTAAACCCTAAACCCTAAACCCTAAACCCTAAACCCTAAACCCTAAACCCTAAACCCTGAATGAAACCCTTCCCAAAACATCCCTGCCGCGTAACAGTGCGCCGCCGCCTTCGGTTGGCGCGGCTGTGCCTGCGGGCCCAATCAGGGTGTAGTTGAATGGTGGTACTCAGGAAACTTAGGGTTCAGGGGGTTTGGGGTTTAGGCTTTGGGGGCTAGGTCTATATAGTCTAGTAGTGCCTGTAAAGGATGATATATGTGGCAGGAGCTGCACCTAGCCCATCCCGACATGACCCAGCCAATCCAAAGCCCATAGCACCAAACCACAGCTCAATTGACCGTGAACCATTGACATCGAATATTGAGATGTGTCGAATATCGCAAACCCCCATGTCCAACCCCAAAGTTAAAGGCATTGGGGGGATCAAGGCCTGTCTTGAGAGCCCTAAACCCTAAACCCTAAACCCTAAACCCTAAACCCTAAACCCTAAACCCTAAACCCTAAACCCTAAACCCTAAACCCTAAACCCTAAACCCTAAACCCAAAGCCCGGCCTTCCCCTGGGCCTTCGATGCCCGCGGCCTCGGCCAGCCTGGGTGTCAGCACCTGCTCCACTCGGTCACCTCGGGAAGTGGAGGGTTTGTGGGGTTTTGGGTTTAGGTCTTAGGGTTAGGGTTTGTGGGGTTTTGGGTTTGGGGTTTAGGGTTTAGGGTTTGGGGTTTGGGGTTTAGGGTTTGGGGCTTAGGGGTGGGGTTTGGGGTTTGTGGGGTTTTGGGTCTACGGTTCAGGGTTTAGGGTTGTCTAGGGTTCAGGGTTTAGGGTTTAGGGTTTGGGGTTTGGGGTTTAGGGTTTGGGGTTTGGGGTTTGGGGTTTGGGGTTTAGAGTTAAGGATTTGAGGGTTGTTCTATATCCTCGTTCCATGGCTGCCAATTAGGATCCCTTGCGCTTCGCCCTTGCGCCAACCTTGCGCGGGCTTGCGCGCGCGAGGTTTTCGCAAGTGCTAGTAGATGTGGAGGGTCAACTTGAAGTTTTGAATGAACATCGCCAAGAGATAGCTTGCGCAGAGCTTGCGTTCGCCCTTGCGCGAGCTTGCGCTCGCTCGAGAGGTGTGCACGACCGACATTTTCCCTAATCGACCTCCTAAGTATCTCACAAGAACCCGCCAAAAAGAACAACCCTCATTTGGGGTTTAGGGTTGAGGGTTTGGGGTTTAGGGTTTGGGGTTTAGGGTTTAGTTTAGGGTTTTGGGGTTTAGGGTTTGGGGTTTTGGGGTTTTGGGGTTGAGGGTTCAGGATCTACAGGGTGGATGGTTTAGGGCGCGTCGGTTTTAAGTAGGGACGTCAGGGTTTGGGGGTCCTGGCGCTGGTGTATACTTGGCAAATGCATGGGCCATGGGGTTTGAGGCGTCTTGGGCTTAGTAACTTAATTCGCCCAGACCCCTGTCTCCTTAAAACCCTAGAGGAGGCGCCAAGAACAACCTTTTTTTCCTTGTCTCCTGAAAACTCAGAAAAGGCGCAAATAACAACCTTTTACCACTGGTGCACGTGCTCAATTATGTGGTACATGCCCCAACAGGCGCGAAGACAGCGGAAGAGATGGGAGCATCTGTCTCCAGTGTCCGCATGCACCGCCCCGTTTGTGTGCTGAAGAGCTTCAGCTGGCCTTCTGCAGAGGCCACCAGCACAACCTAGGATGGCCCTTAAGGGGTTAGGGTTTAGGGTTTAGGGTTTAGGGTTTAGGGTTTAGGGTTTAGGGTTTAGGGTTTAGGGTTTAGGGTTTAGGGATATTGCAGAATGTGATCCTCTTAAACCCAATCAGGGAATACAAAACAATGTCCTAAGGGCCTACCCAGCGACGAGTCCGTCAGGGGAGAAGGACGCAGAGCGTGCAAAGCCGCGAAGACCTTCGAGGCGCTGAACGCAAAGGCCTGTCGCAATGTCAAAAATCTTCGGAACAGAGTTACCACCCACACAGGCAGCATGTTTCGAGCAGGTCAGCACATAGCGCCCATCAGGGGAAATCTGCGCGGTTTTGGCCCAGGGCATGTCCTCCTCAAAAACCATGTCAAGACCCTCAGTTTCGACATCGAAGAGCCACGCACGCCCTTGTGACTCCTGTCGACCCTGCCTCACTGACACCGCGACGACCACCTTGCGCCCATCTGGCGAAAACATTGCGGAACCCACAGCATCACAAGATGGCAATTGCAAAGACTTCTCCAACTCACCGCTGGCCACGTCATAAATATTAACTTCTTCATCATCCGATGTGGTCAAGACTCTGCGTCCATCAGGAGAGAAGCAAGCCATGATGTTTCCTTCAAGGGTATGAACAGTTGCCGACTCGAGATCGATCAGCTTTGACAAGTCGTCACGCGATGCTGTCACAATGTACCGGCCATCTGGAGAGAACTCGGCCCAACGGACCCAATCTGTGTGCTCCGAAAATTCATACGTGCACTGGCCTGAGCTCACGTTGAAAACCCTTACCACGCAGTCCTCCGATGTTGTCACGAGCCTGCTGCCGTCTTTCGCCATCATTGCTGAGCGGACCTTGCCAACAGGGTGTCGGAAGGTCCGCTCCAAAACCCCCGTGCTGCTGTTGTACAATCGCGCCGATGGCATCCGGTCAGACGCCACGGCCACCAAGATACGGCGAGGCGGCAACGGCAAGACGGTGACGCGCGACATACCACGCAATGAGGCTTGAGCCAGCGGAGGATAGGGGAGCAGACGCTCCTGGCCAACAATGAGCTCTGCGGGGTCCAGCTCCTGGATTGCCCCGCATTCCACTGCGGCCTGGTATACGTCGAAGAACGTGGTGCCAGCGGCCAACTGCACTGTGCCGAGGCTCCTGCCGGACAAGAGAACGAAATGGGCTTCCGGGCATGGGCTGCGCGACCGCGATCGCGCCATCGTCTATGCAACAGGGTCCCAGCACCGGCCCCACTTGATGCTCACCAAGACAAGAAGCCCACCTCCTAGGACCTATAACCTGGACTAATGTGACTAATATAGTTGCAGAGGTAGTGGATGGTAGCAAGTGATGGTGGTCGTGTCGGAACCCACGGCCTCGGTCTTCGGGCATGTGTCTGTGTGGGGATATGACGCAAGCATTGCGATAATCATGTGTTCAAGCGCTGCTCGCGCCATCTATACCACGTACAACGGGTGCCCTTTTTGGTTTACAGGGGCTGTTCAAGGGAACCTAAACCCTAACAAAACGGAAGAAGGGCTTATATGGATTCTGGGTCGGAGTCGGATCTGCGCTCCAAGCTCACCATCAGACCACGTTGTACGTTCAAGGTTTCCTCGTGATGACTTCGATGTCTATGGAACCCTGCAAACCCTAAACTAATTCATCCTACACCCCAAACCCGACACGGCCCTAAACGGTCCCTAAAACAAACCCTAAACCCTAACCCCATAAACCCTATAAACCCTGCAACACCCTATGAACCCGTAAACCCTATAGAACCCTCTAAAACCCTACAAACCCTGATAAAAACCCTATAAAACCCTACTAAACCCTGTAAACACCTATACGACCCTGTAGACCCAAAGCGGTTCGGGCCGCCGGGGTGTACTGAGGGCCCGGGCCGAAGTCCTTGGTGCAGGGCAAGGTGACGATGAAGCTCGATCCCTTACCCACTTGGGACCTGCAAGGGCTTGTGTTGAGTTGCGTGCTTAGGGTTTGGGGGTTTTGAAAACGAACCCGAAGGGAACCCGAAACCCTAAACCCGAAACCCCAAACCCTAAACCCTGAACCCTGAACCTCACTTAAGGTCTGTGGATGTGACGAAAGTTCCCAGAGGCACGGCGCCAGTCAAAAGTCCAATAAGGAATACGCCTAGAGCCTGATCTTGGATCTTCACTCACTGGTCGGATTGTGGGGGGATGTTCGAGGTCCACAGTGACCCCGGAACAGGACTGGTTGTACTTGGGAGGGCGGGGGGGTTATAGCAACCCCCCCCCCCCCCTATGACCCTAAATCAAGTCCGGGGGGGAGGGGGGGGCCTTTCGACTGCAGGATTCATACCCTACAAATTCCCGCCTAAACTACAAACCCTAAACCCTAAACCCTAAACCCGCCCTTGTGTTCTCCTGGTTGGCGCCAGGGCGCTCGACTCGGATGCTCCCCTTGTGTGACTCGGCGACGGCCTTGCAAACGGCCTCACTGGAGTCGGAGGGGGAGGTTTGGGGGTTTCAGGGAACCGGGATTCCTAAACCCTAAACCCTGAACCCTAAACTCTAAACCCACTCGGGTTGGCTGCTTAATCCTGATGAGCGGCGGTGTTGTGATGCGGAAAGCTTCAGCTGCAAGCCCTGAAAAACCGAAACTGCCGAAAGCTTTATGTGGAGCGACTCTTCCTCCTTGGAACCCAAATCTCTCTGCCTCCGAACCCTGAAGGTTTAGGGTTTAGGGCCGGACTGACGGCCGTGTTCTAGTGCAGACGGATGTCTCACAAACAGGCACCAGCAGAGACCCTGCAGTCCCTAAAGAAACCCTTACTGAAGGCCCCACCCGCCGCCTTTCTACGGATGTTGAGGCTAAGTGCTGGCACCTGCTGCCAAAATCCAAAGCTCCTGGCATTAAGCCCTGAACTACCCTAAGTAACCTCGAACCCGAGCCCAAACCCGCCTCAAGCTGGTCTTCTGGCTTTAGGGTGAGGGCAAAAATACCCCCAGTCCCTCAAAAACCCGGAAATCTCACCGGAGCCAAAAAACCCTCAATCCCGAGCCCCCCCCCCCCCCCAAAAAAAAAAAAAAAAAAACTAAACCCACAACCCCAAACCCTAAGCCCTAAACCAGAACCCTAAACCCTAAACCCCCCAACCCTAAACCCTCAACCCCAAACCCTACTAAACCCCGGTAAAACTCCCGAGCCCTTGGAGAAGCTCAGCGTGCTGCCAAGCCCAGGCCCAGCCCCTGGAAAGTGAAGGCTGGGGTTTAGGGTTTAGGGTTTAAAGGTTTTAGGCTTCGGGGTTTAGGGTTTTAGGGTTTTAGGGTTTTGGGGTTTAGGGTTCTAGGGTTTTGAGGTTTGGGGTTTGGGGTTTTCAGGTTGTGGAATTGGGGGTTCGGGTTTTGAAGGTTCTGGTGGCTGTTGGGGTTTGGAGCTTGGTGTTTTTTGGATTTGCGTTTCATTCAGGGTTTTGACTATTGGGGTTTACAAGGGCTTCTTGCCGGGCCCGAGGCTTCCCCTGAAGCCCTCTCTGGGGAGGGGGGGGGCTGGGAGCCTTGTGGATGTCTGCGGGCTTGAGCTGCAGAACCCCTACTCTACCCTAAAAGTAGTCACGCAAAGTGGGCTTGGGGGGGTGCTTGACGGCTTGGGTTTTGGGGTTGCTTCACTCCCCTGCCCTGCACTTCGATCGGGGGATGTTTTGCCACGGCGGTCTGTACTTTCCTCGGGTGTACCACCAGCCATAGATCGAGTAGCGGAATCGATCGCTTGCTCGCACGGGGGTGACGCGGTGGTCGCGTGGCACCAGAAAGCACACTGCCTCGTTGAAGGTTGGCACAACTTCTGCCCCTCCGCCCACGCATTCCGGTTCGCCATCGATGAACACGCCCCCATCCGCGGAGGTCCAGTTCCTTGGGGACTAAATCAAGCGCAAAAGGGTTTATGGGTTATATACCATATTGGGGCTATGTTAGGGTATGTGACCCAATTGTAGGGTTCATTTGGGTCCCAAGGTTCTTGGTCAGGTACAGGATGAGCGCCACCCGGCGCGAGTACACAGCGGGATCGTCCCAGAAGGCTGCGTAGGTGCCCTCATCCGTATGGGTGTCGATGAAATCCGCGGGGCCGTAGCGCCCGAATCGGAACTCCGCCCTGGTCGGCACCGACCGGATCGCTGGAATCAGTTCGGCGAGGGCCGCTTGCAGGGCGTCGAAGCTTGCGCCGGTCTCATTCCTTGGGGCGACATGAACCCCAAAAGGGTTTAGGGCTCATATACCTCAATAGGAATTACAGTAGTCTAGGGCACATCACACTAATCTTTGGGGGCTCATTTGGTCCCGAGGTTCAGGCCCCGGTACCGAAAGCGGTGGACCGCGTCGTCCGCCTGCGCGGGCGCGGTGCGCCGCCACGCCGCCTCGCCGAGGTTCTGGGCCATGGCCAGGGCCTCTTCGGCCACGGGCTGCGGCAGGAAGTTCTGCACCTTGGGAACCCATAGAGGGTTTAGGGTTTAGGGTTTAGGGTTTGGGGTTTGGGGTTTGGGGTTTAGGGTTTCGGGTTTCGGGTTTAGGGTTTCGGGTTTCGGGAAGTAGAACCCTAGAAATAGCCTTGAAAACTCGCGTAAGACGACAAGCAACAATATAGGTTCAACTCATGTTAAAGTGCACGGACCACAAACCTTCAAGGGTTCAGATCGTCCCCAAGTGAGCCATCATAAGGGCGTTATATTCCTCACTACATGAAGACATCCCCTTCTCCAAAAGGATCACACTTAGGAGCCCCAAAGCAACCTTCATGGCAACCTAGCTTAAGCTCCCCAACCCCCCAAGGGCTAGCTAAACCGCAAAACCCTGAACCCCAACCCCAAAACCCTCAACCCTAAACCCCAAGCCCTTACAGAAACCTAACCTTCCCAAGGTACACGAACCAGGCTCCAGGACGCCAGGCCCGGGATGATCTCCTCACGCCGACTTTCTATCCAGGCCTCGATTGTCCAAGGGGTGTTGGGGGTTTAGGGTTTAGGGTTTAGGGTTTAGGGTTTAGGGTTTAGGGTTTAGGGTTTAGGGTTTAGGGTTTAGGGTTTAGGGTTTAGGGTTTAGGGGGGTTTAGAGTCTAGGGTTTAGGGTTGCTGAGTTGAAGGTGTGGGGTTTGGGGTTCAGGATTTAGGGTTTAGGGCTTGGCGTTCAGGGTTAGGGTGTGGGGTTTCCGAAGAGGATCCTCGAAAATCCCCATTAAAAGGGAATCTTGTCTTCGAGTAACTCCTCCCTAGGCTAAGAGCCTGAGCTATTTCATGCACCCTGTAGCTGCATTATGCAAGCTAATCAGCTAGTACCGCCTGCAAAACCAGAGAAAAGCATCCCCAAGGACCCATTGTGAGCTAGTTCTCCGTAGAATTAGAAGTATAAGGAACCCAGCTCGGACTAGAAGTCATAAGCGCCGACAGCCTGGATCTTGCCTAAAAACCGTATCCCAAGTTAACCCTAAGCCCTAAACCCTAAAACCTAAACTCTGAACTCTAAACCCCGCAAACCCCTAAACCCTAAACCCGAAACAAGGGCCGAGAGGCTTGGAGGCCGGCTTCGTCTCCGAGCCACTCGGACACAGGTGACGGCTCGGAAGTCAGCTTTGGAGCCCCCGAGCTTCGCGCGGAGACGCCCAAGGTCCTGCGGTTCAGGGTTTAGGGTTTAGGGTTTAGGGTTTAGGGTTTAGGGTTTAGGGTTTAGGGCATGGGGGGCCCAGTTTAGCAAGGGTACCGCCTTTTTGGGGTTGGTCACTCTATAAGGGCGACCTTGAACTTGAACCCAGGGTACCCTTTCTTGGGGGTTGAAGGGAGCCCAGAACCCCCCAAAAAGGGGGCAAACAGGGTCCCCCTGGGCCACCCAAAGCAAACCTGGCACTCTATGTACCTCCAGTTTCGTAGCTACCCTTAACTAGTATAGGTATCTAAACCCTAAACCCTAAACCCTAAACCCTAAACCCTAAACCCTAAACCCCAAACCCCAAACCCCAAACCCTAAACCCTAATCATAAAACTGCCGGCAAGGGAGGGTGCCAGGAAGGTCCTGGGAGCCCCGCGCAGCGCCGCGCCCAATGTGAAGGAGGCGCCCGCGGCCACGAAGGCCGAGGCGCCCACAAAGCCCTAGGGTTTAGGGTTTAGGGTTTAGGGTTTAGGGTTTAGGGTTTAGGGTTTAGGGTTTAGGGTTTAGGGTTTAGGGTTTAGGGTTTAGGGTTTAGGGTTTAGGGTCATATCCCAAGGGTTTAGGGTCATATCCCAAGGGCCTACCGAGCTGGAAGTGATGGGATGCGGGGGGCTTGGACCCCGGATGCGGGACTCTGGGTTCAACAAGAGGCTTGCTTGTTTTGTCTTGCATGTTTTTGTGTGTTGTGGTTACAATGGGTTCAGACTTCAGACATTTTGCCCAGAGACAGAAGTAGGAATTTCGTGTGTATATATATGTGAAAAAAACTACACGTGCACAATACCACATCAGACATGTATTATACAATACAATTTGGCATATTCCCGCTCCCCCTATTCTAGTCCCGATTCAGGATTGCTGGTACAAGCCGGAACATCCCAAAAGGTGTATCATGTTATAGACATGTCGTGGAATCGAGCAAAGACAAATCAGAGCTTTAGGATGTCAGAGACTTAACATCAATAATTCAGGGGAGCAGGAGGAGCCTTCTGAGACAAAGACGAACTGACAAGCATGTACTCCAAAGCAGCCCCCCCCCCCAGAAACAAAAAAGAAAAAACTTGACAGCCTTGAAACTGGCAAAATCCGAAAATCCGCAAGCCAGGAGCCCCCAAACCCAGAAAAAAAACAAAAAAAACAAAAACTGACCCGGATGTTCGTTGCCTTGCATCTCCTTCCGCGGCGGGACATCTGTCTCGCAGGCCGCTTGTTGAGGGCAGAGTTTCCTAAGGCCTTTGCAAGGACTCAGAGGATTGGACTTCCAGTTGGCTAGCTCGGGTTTAGGGTGACCGGGGTGGTAAAAAAACCAGCAAATCGCGCACAACATATCATGGCATTTTTTGGGTTTCTGTGCTTTATACACTACAATATTGGGGTCTAGGTGTTTTATGTGCTTTATGCACTACAATACTAGGGTCTAGGGTTTGGGGTTAGGGCTTAGGGTGTCTAGGTGCATGGTGCTGAGTCGAAGTTTTTCCGCGGGGTTGTTGAGCCAAAGCCCTGCGGTGCGTCCCATGTGGGAGCTCTGTGGTTCAAGGGTTTTTTCTGGCTCCAAAACGGGCTTAGGCTTAGGGGTCCAGGGATTTATAAATAGGGTTTAGGGTGTAGGGTTTAGGGATTAGGGAACATATATAGGGTTTGGGATACCGAGGATGTACCTGGAACCCCAAAAAAACTGCTCATCACCATCGTCTTTAGCCAGCTCGCACTCCTAGGAAAAAATTGCGGAAGTCTCGACTGCAGGGATCCTTGTAGCCCTAAACCCTAAACCCTAAACCCTCAGCCCTCAAACCCTAAACCCTAAAACCTCGCTCCTACCACCCTTTAGGGTTTAGGGGTTTAGGGGTTGAGGGTTCACCCCGAGATGATTGAGCTTGATCTCCGAGGTGTGCCTGAGAGCTGGCGGACGTCGCGATCCGGTCCTCCGGCGTGTTCCGAGGGTTTAGGGTTTAGGGTTTAGAGTTTAGGGTTTAGAGTTTAGGGTTTAGAGTTTAGAAGTCCTTCAACCCCAAGCCATAGTGGGCTACCTTACTGGCTCTTCAGACTAGACCCAGAAGTAACCTAGGAGTAGAAAGGGTACCTTTTTTTGGTTTAGGGAACCCCAACCCTAAAAAAGGGAAATAAGGGCCTTCTCGGGTCCTAACAGAGGGTTACCTGAAGAACCCCAAGCCGTAGTGGGGTACGCTTCTGGCTCTTTGCTTGCTTTCGGGTTTATCGTTAATTAAGGCGTAAAGGAAAGCTAGGAACCCTAAAATCCTAAAACCTGAGCCCTGTACCCTAAACTCCCAAACTCTGCGATAACAGGCTAAACCCTAAACCCTAAACCCTAAACCCTAAACCCTAAACCCTAAACCCTAAACCCTAAACCCAAAACCCTAAACCCTAAACCCTAAACCCTAAACCCTAAACCTGGCAATGCATCGGGCATCAATCAAAGGAGGCTCGACGCTCTGGTTTGGGGTGCAGGCCATAGGGGTTCAGGGCTTGGGGCCCCGAGGGTTTAGGGTTTAGGGTTTAGGGTTTAGGGTTTAGGGTTTAGGGTTTATCTTAACGAAGAAGATCTTCATGCCGCATTGATAGGGGTCGGTTCCCGATTGTTAGGGTCCCTTCTAAGACGATGAAGGGCACCTACGAGGTCGCACTAACGAAGCGGTTTAGGGTTTAGGGTTTAGGGTTTAGGGTTTAGGGTTTAGGGTTTAGGGTTTAGGGTTTAGGGTTTAGGGTTTAGGGTTTAGGGTTTAGGGTTTAGGGTTTAGGCCGTCTCGCAGGTGCACCAGGTGGTCTCGCTGCCAACGGCAGAATTAAGACAGGACTTTGGAAGTCAGCCGCTTGTAACAGGAAATATCGCAAACCTCTGCAGCAACCAAAAGCACAGATGCAATCAAGCAGATCTGCTGGGGGTGTTCATGATAAGATTGAAAGACATTGAAAGACTTCTCATATAAGAATGGATGGATAGAGTGACAATTGACAATGCTAATGATAATGGATCCTGCATTTCGATATAGTCACATCGCAGATCAGCATTGTCAGAATTTCTGCACCAAAGAAACGAAAACACAAACGACAAATTTAAATCCTTTGACCACACGGGCAAAATGAAGCTCCTGCTCAAGCGGCTGGAAGATCTTCCCAAGCGCTTCCGGAGGGATACCAGCACCTGGGAGAGGTTTGAGGCTGAGGCTTCTTCAGGGTCTCGAGTCTAAAGGGCTTACGGCTTTTAGGGTGGGATCGTGTGGGCATTGCGCCCGCCGCGCCCGAGAGCGTGCACTTTGAGAAGATTCCGGGCTTGGCGGCGGGGTTCTCCCAGCTGCTTTTGCTCTTGGAGGGGCTTTCGGGGCGCAACGAGGAATCTGAGCCAAGGACAATAGGCCCTCCAAAAGCTGTACAGCCCACCCCGCTCGAGAAATACCGCGCAGACCTTCCAACCACTTAACCCCCCAAAACTCTGGCTTCAGAACCCCGACTGCTTCTGTGGGATGTGCTTCTGAAGCCGGGTTCAACCGCCCCCGAAGCCCCTGAAACCCTCTCCCAATTTGGGGGAGTCTGGGCCGGTGTCGGGATTTGGGGTTTCCGGGCAGTTTTGAGGCTAGTTTGGGTTTCAGGGAGCCGTACCCTAAACGAGGCTGATCGCAACCTTCGGCTAGGCCGGATGGAGTCTATTGCTGCTGAAATAAGGGTTTAGGGCCTCCAGCCCATAGGTTGAGGGCTTTGGGCTTCACATCTCAAACCACGCCAGCTGTAACATGAGAAGGCGCCTGGATTTCGGCATGTGCGCCTCTACATAAACCTACGGCCTGCTTTGCAAAAAGGTTTTCTCGTTCCATAGATGCGCCTTCTACGTGCATAAGCTTCCACAAGCACTGTAAACCTGCACATCCTTGACCTGCGGGTTTAGGTTTTCTACCAAAGACCAGTGACAGCCGGGAAGCCCGTGTCCACCACCCGGATCTCCAGTTGATCTGCTTCCGCCAGGTGAGAATAGCTGATGGACACCTGGGTTCTATGTCAGGGTCCCTTTCATTTCTTTATTTCTTTTGTATACGTGAGGGAGTCGATTGCAAAGTTACCCAAAAGGGGGGGGGTTAACTCCCCTCACCTGATGGGCCTCTCTCAAACATTGGGGGCACTGCAGTTTACACGGACTTTGAGCTGCAGGGATGCTGGGGGGGGGGGGGGGTTTAGGGTTTAGGGTTTGGAGCCGAGGCTGGCTTCGGGTTTAGGGCGAAGGGGACTCGTCCGCCGCACTCGAGGGCCCAGATCCCTAATCATACAGAGCTTGTAAACACCCAAAAACCCCCAAGCCCTAAACCCTAAACCCTAAACGGCCCTAAAGTCCCTAGAGCCTTAAAACACCTCAAAAAAAACCTTAGAACATCCAAAGCCCTAAGCCCCAAACCCCTAAACCCTTCAAACACCTCAAACAAGGAACCTTAGAACGCCAAAGCCCTAAACCCTAAACCCTAAACCCTAAACCCTCCTTCGACGTCTATGGCGAAAGTCGACCCAGCCCCCCCCCCTCCTGACCTGACCGCCCTGACCCCCCGCTGACCTGCCATGGCCCGGCCGGCCTCCTTGGCCCCATGACCCCTCCTGACCCTCCCCGCTCTCTGTTCCTGACTCTGCAAACCTCTCCTTTCCTATGCAGCTGAAGACCTAGCCTCAAACCTTTCCCTTGGCTGAAAGTGGCCATCGGTGACGGAAAGGATTTTTTTTGGAAAGTAAGCGATTGTCATGAGTTTAGGCCTAAGCCCTAAAAGGAATAGGTTTGGGTGGTTTTGCCGCCTCGGACGGCGTGGGGTGGGAGACAAGTTTTTAGATGGCCCTCCCCAATCGGGCCAGAACTACTCTTCGCACCTGACGAGGCATTCGAGCCGCTGCTGCATCCAAACCTTCACAGCATCTACGCCCTATCACGGCAAACCCTAAACCCTAAACCCTAAACCCTAAAAGGCACCCAACCGCAGGCCGGGCGCCGACCCCTTGGAGGTGAACTTGCAGGCGTTGACCTCGGGTCGACATTGGGCCATGAGAAGGGTTTAGGGTTTAGGGTTTAGGGTTTAGGGTTTAGGGTTTAGGGTTTAGGGTTTAGGGTTTAGGGTTAGGGTTTAGGGTTTAGGGTTTAGGGTTTAGGGTTTAGGGTTTAGGGTTTAGGGTTTAGGCTTAGGGGTTTAGGGTTTTAGGGTTTCAGGTTTAGGGTTTGGGGTTTGGGGCTGTGCGATTTTTGTGTTGGGTTCCTGGGAGCTATATGGCAAAAGAATAAAGGGTGTTCTGTCGTGAGGGGCTGTCAAACTGAGGGGCGGGGATCTTCTTTGAAACATGTAGGGGGTTGCAGATGAGGACCTTCTGGAGCATCAATGGAAGCAAAGCAAAATATTCGTGGTTGCACAACAGTATCTTGAGAGCATCGTCTTGCGTGAAATGGCCCTTTAAAGGTCTTTCGAGAACAGGCGGAGCGGCTACAAATGATGGAGGTGAAAAGGAGGGCATCTTTAGCATCAAGGGCACTGAGGGGAATGACGGTCTGCTCCACCCGCCAGGGTACCTTTCATTTCGTTTAGAAGAAAGCAAAGCCGAAACCGAACATAGGTTGGTTCCCGGGCGCAAATACATGTACATATACGTATGCATATACATATATTGTGACACACATAAGGAAAATTCTATGGGTTATAAGGAAATAGGGATTAGAGCCCATGGAACTGTAGAACTTGAAAAAATGCAAAACCCAACCCCCCAAAAAAGCACAAAACACAAAAACTCAAGGCGTTCTAAAGCAACCCCAGTTGGGGATTTACGAACCTAGGGGACCCCACAAAAATGGACCCCCCAATTGTATCCCCATAAAATAAGGACCCCAATAAGGACCTTCATAGCGTAAAGCCCCGCCCTTCTTATTCCTAGCCCTAAACCCTAAACCCGAAACCCGAAACCCTAAACCCCAAACCCTTGGCGTTCTAAAACAGCCCCAGCGACCACCAGGTTGTACAGGAGCTGCGTGCACTGCGACGTGCTCCCCAGCCTTGGACATGTGGAGTTGAGGTTTAGGATTTAGGGTTTAGGGTTGAGGGTTGAGGGTTCAGGGTTCAGGGTTTTGGGTTTAGGGTTTGGGGTTTGGATGTTCGCCCTTATGCTAACAATCCTTAGTAGGGAGAATAGTACCCCCGATTATAATCCCCATTAAGGACTCTTAGTATACATCCCAAGTTTGAGGATTCAAGAGTTCTGGGAGTTCAGGACTTGGAGCTTGGGCCGCAGTCGTCATTTGTCGACTCACCAACCAGTCAAAAAGAGGCGTTTAGGGTTTAGGGTTTAGGGTTTAGGGTTTAGGGTTTAGGGTTTAGGGTTTAGGGTTTAGGGTTTAGGGTTTAGGGTTTAGGGTTTAGGTTTGACGCCTGCATGTAAAAAGAGCCTACGGTCGAAGTTGCTGAATGCAGGTGCATTCAACATAGCTTTGTCCCTTCCTCACATCCTCGTACTAATTAATGTAGCCACCGGCATGGGTGTTCTCTCCTCACGCCTTAGGCTAAATAGACAACGAGAACTCTTTGTACCTCCCCATCCTTGTTTGCTAGACTGGTTGATACTGGGCATTGGCCCGGCCCTGGCGTGGTTTTTCGGCAGCCGTGGCGGCGCACACAAACGCGGACAAGGAACAAATGTAGGGTCGGAATATTTGCCACTAGTGTTCCCTTAATGGTCCCTTTGTAATTATACCACAATAAACCCCAAAGCCCTATTCTACGCACTCAGGCCCCTATATTAGTTGGGTATGGCGATGTTCGGGGCGCCCTGGAGTATAGGAGGACCATAGATGCTCAGCTTGGCAACACCAGCGGGATCTCCTCCTTTTCAACCAGAAGGTTCTTGATCTCCAGGTCCACACCTGCGTAGGTGCAAGAAAAAGTTTGCTGGGTTCTTGATAGCGAACTTGACTTAGGCTAAGCTATACCATCTTCAAGGCACACTACTTGCGTACTAGAAAACCCTACTGTGGTAACTTAGCTTTAAGTTCCTGAGCAGGAGCTCAGTTTTGGGGTAGATTGGGCTGATACGACTACAGGCCTGTTGGGCTGACCGAACCGCCGGCCTCGAGTCGATCGAGGCAGGACACGTAAATTGACGTTTCATTTGGGTTGAGGGTTTAGGGGCGTTTAGGGTTTCGGGTTTAGGGTTTTGAGGTTTTAAGATTTAGGGCCTAGGGTTTCCGAAAAAACAGGTACCCCTTCTGACAGCTGCTGAAATAAGGACTATCGTGGCTCGGGATAGATTCGGGGGAACCCCTATTTTGGCAAATATGTTTTTTTCGGACCAGTACTTCTCCCAGTCTCCGAGAAAAGCAAGCAGCAACCGAATGTTGAGCTGCTGCAGAAGCAAGCTTCTGCTCACATGAGCACATGCCTATCAAACAAACAAACAGCAGAGGTACAACATTGGCTAGTCACTTCTCTAAAATGTGGTTCCTTTTTAGGGTCCTCATTATCAGGCGGCCCCTCTTAGTTCGGGCACCCTTAAAGGGACCATCAATTTACGAACTCACCTTCTGGGGGTTGCACACACCCTTAGCTTCCATAGAGGTCGAACTCAATTTGGGCACCTCGCTCCAAGAACGCGAAGTGGATGGCGCTATAACCCAAACGGATTCCGGAAGTTAGGGCGTAGGACTTGTAGGCTTGTGGATCTATGGGGTTGGCTTGCAGGGTTTTTTTGCCTCTCGACTTTGCGATATAGACCAAAAAATCCCGCCTCCCCTCCCGCCTCCCCTCCCGCCCGCCCCCGCCCGCCCACCCCCCCCCCTCCAGAAACAGAACGCCTTGCAAGCCGTCCCTCATCCTAAATCGAAGACCACTATACCCCCCCAAACCCTAAACCACCAAACCCAAAACCCGTTGACCCCATAAACCCTCCCAAACCCTGTACAACCCAACCCCCCCCAAGACCCCAAATGCCTGGCTTCAGTAGCGGCTTGTTCGCCTTGTCCACAGCGAGGCTACTCATGGTCACCACCTTTCTGGGTTTAGGCATTTCAGGTTTGGGGTTTTAGGGTTTTACGGTTAGGGGTTTAGGACTTGAAGCTCTAGAAGCTCTAATCCACTGAACCCTTGCGCCTGCGCCCTTAGACGCGGGTTGGGGTTCAAAGCCTAAACCTTCAAACCCGAGAGCCTGAGCAGGGTTTAGGGTTTAGGGTTTCGGGCCAGCCCTACATACAAGCTACAGTGTGAACCGGGCCGAGTGTCGACTATACTGAACTTAGAACCCTAGCCAAAATGATAGTTTTTGTTGTTTCTTAGGAATTAACGTGCCTAAAAAGTGAAATTTATTTCCAAGTATCCCTAAGTCGATGGGTGCGAACGTCGGGTTTCCTCTACAATCTTAGTACGGGGTTTAGGGTTTAAGGGTTTAAAGGTTTAGGGTTTAGGGTTTAGGGTGCCCTTCATTGGCCCCTACAAGACCTACTCTGGCCCTAAACCCTAAACCCTAAACCCTAAACCCTAAACCCTAAACCCTAAACCCTACACCCTAAACCCTAACTCGGGAAACCCGCGCCTCCTCGGCGACCGCGGCGAAGTTCACCTCCAGGCACGTCTCTTCTGTTCTTCTGTGGGTTTTGGGGTTTAGGTTTAGGGTTTAGGATTGAGGGTTTAGGGCTTAGGGCTTAGGGTTTAGTAAGGTTAGGATTTAGGGTTTTAGTGTTTGGGGGGGGGTAGCGTTTGGGGTTTAAGGAAAAAGTTTGAAGGGTTTTGTACTTCGACTTAGGCTTACCAGAATCCCCCACTATTCTCACGCGCAACCCCGAAAAATTTGATTCAAGCTGAGACCTTGTCCTGGTCGCCAGGCGCTTGGCCTCCGCGATCGAGGGTTGTTGGCAAGGGGTTTGGGGATTAGTGGTAAAGAGGCTTAGAGGCCCCGAGCTTCAGGGGCAAAGGGGTTGAGGGGCAGGAAACAGGACCTTAAACCCCGACACCCAAAACAGTTTCTTGTGCCTTGCAAGAGCTCGGGGGTTTAGGGTTTGTGTAGGGCATTTCGAGTTTGGGGGTTTGGGGTTGACTATCGGAGCCGGCAAACAATTACCAACATTCCCAAATCCCCAAACAGATATAGCTACCCAAAACTTACCGTTCGAAATCAGCAGGCCCCCCCCCAGGGCCATACTCAACTACAAGACAGTGAGCCTTGAACCCCGAGCCCCTCAAAATCGGTTCCCCATCCTAAACCCGGGACAATGAACCATGAACCCCCAACACCCCAACACCCAGAACCCTGAAACCCTAAACCCTGGAACCCGAAACCCTAAACCCTAAAACCCTAAACCCTCAAACCCTAAACCCTAAACCCTAACCCTCAAACCCCAACCCTAAACCCTAAACCCCAAACCCTAAACCCCAAACCCTAAACCCTGAACCCTAAACCCTGAACCCTAAACCCTGAACCCCCTTGCATCCCGCTGAGCCTTTGCCTTCGGAGAGCTCCAAGGCGTTGGTGACCACGTCCTAAACCCTAAACCCTAAACCCTAAACCCTAAACCCTAAACCCTAAACCCGAAACCCTAAACCCTAAACCCTAAACCCTAAACCCTAAACCCAAAACCCTAGTCCTGGCAGCGAGCTTGGCTTCCCAGTTCGTGCATCCGGGGCTTGAGATTTTGGTTTGGGGTTTGGGGTTTGGGGTTCAGGGTTTGGGGCTTAGGGTTTAGGGTTTGGGGTTTGAGGTTTAGGGTTAGGGTTTGGGGTTTGGGGCTTGGGGCTTGGGGCTTGGGGCTTGGGGCTTGGGGCTTGGGGCTTGGGGCTTGGGGCTTGGGGCTTGGGGCTTGGGGCTTGGGGCTTGGGGCTTGGGGCTTGGGGCTTGGGGCTTGGGGTTTGGGGCTTGGGGTTTGGGATAAAGGGTTTGGGGTTTGAGGTTTGGGGTCTGGGAGTCACATCCCACAGGAAATTAGGCCTTGCTATAGGGTTGCCAAAAAAACTTGTACTCCTGCACGCTGCTTGCCCAAGCCCCAAGAACGAAACCCCTGCAGAGCCATCACGGCCTAGCCCTGTCAATCCTCGACCATGAGGAAGCCTAAACCCTGGCCACTAAATCCCCCAAACCCCCCTTGACCCCGACACTAATGAAACCCTAAACCCTAAACCCTAAACCCTAAACCCCCGGAAGGGCTAAACCAACCTCAGCCCTGTCGAGCACTAGAGAACTGCTAAAGACCCTCACAGCAAACCCTGAGGAGCTCTTAAAGCTGTCCTCAACAAGCAGAGCCTCTCAAAGGCCCCGAGCCCCAACCCGAGCCCCCCCCCCCCCAACACAAAAAAATAGAAACCCGCAAACCTCTCCCAAAAACACCCGTAACACAACCAACCCTGAAACAAAAAGCGCCCTCCAAAACATCCTTCCAGACAAACGCAACCCCAAAATTTTGAGCCCCAAACCTCTCCCTGAACCCCAAGCCCCTCGAACCCCTAAGCCCCAAAACCCCAAAACCCCAAAACCCCAAAACCCCAAAACCCCAAAACCCCAAACCCCCAAAACCCCCAAAACCCTCAAACCCTAAAACCCCTAAACCCCAAAACCCTAAACCTAAACCCTAAACCCCCAAAACCCTCAAAACCCTGAAACCCTGTCGCCCCACAGGCCGAGGCGCCAGAAGCCGCGAAGCGCAGGAGCGGATCATGCCCAACCTTGTTCGGCGGGGAAGGCTACCAGGGGCTTAGGGTTTAGGGTTTAGGGTTTAGGGTTTAGGGTTTAGGGTTTAGGGTTTAGGGTTTAGGGTTTAGGGTGAGGGCTTTTGCAGCAGCATCTCCGAAGAGCGCATATCGGGCGCCAGCGTGCAACATGACACTGCACCGCAAGCCCAGGACACCACAACACCAAACCGAAGCACCCCAAAAGCCCAGAACCGCAAAACCCCAAAGCCCCGAAGCCCCAAACACCGACCCCAACCCCACACACCAAACACACCCCACACACCAAACACACCAAACACACCAAACAACACCACAAAACCCAAAGCCCCGAAGCCGAAACCAGGGTTTAGGGTTGAGCTTCCCGGTTGTAGAGGGTTTAGGAGGGTTTGGGCGTGTAGGGCTTTGGTTTGTTGAAGGATGACACAAATTCAGGTCTGGTTCTAATGTACCTGAACCCCGTTACATGGTCTCTCAGTATGGGCCCTTGAAAGGGTACCCCTTACATGCCCCATACAAGCTAAGGGCTCATACATCAGAACCCTTTCAGGGAGGTTCGGGACCATACTTAGAGGTTCCTGGTACTTATAACTGTACTTAGAACCATACTAGGGCAGTTAAGGGGCTTATAAGTGGGTTACAAGTACAGTTGTAGTTGGTTATAAGTACCATGAACCTCCGAGTATTAAGGGCCCATGAAACTACCCCTCAGAACCCCAACAGGCCTAGGGGCTTAGGGTTCCCCCAAAATCCCTCAACACCCAGAACCCCTCAAACCCAAGACTCCCAAAACACCTTAACCCTAAACCCTAGCCCTAAACCCTAAACCCTAAACCCTAAACCCTAAACCCTAAACCCTCTAAACTCAAGGCGACGGGGGGCTGCTTCTTGGCCCCGGCCGAGGCCGCAGTCTTCTCCTGGAGTCCCGAAGCTCCCAAGTTCCCCCACATAAACTGGTTTAGGGTTTAGGGTTTAGGGTTTAGGGTTTAGGGTTTAGGGTTTAGGGGCTTCATTAAGGTTGCCACGCGTGAAAGTGGGAGGGGGTTTAGGTTTTTAGGGTTTTAGGGTCTGGGGTTTTAGGGTTCCCCAATAACCTATAAGAGATAACAAGGGGGTGAACCAAGCAACCAAGGTATTCCCCATACCCTAAACCCTGACCCCTAACCCCCCCACCTTCCCTTAACGCTAAAACCCTAAAACCCTAAACCCTAAACCCTAAACCCAGAACCCTACACATTCTGGAGTTTTTCTAGCTGGCACCTCGGCCCCTTCGGACTTCGCCTCGGTCTATAAAACCCGTTTAGGGATTAAGGGTATAGGCTTTAGGGTTTAATTAGGGTTTAGGGTTTAGGGTTTAATTAGGGTTTAAGGGTTTAAGGTCTAAGGGTCTACGGGTTTAAGGGTTTAAGGGTTTGAGGGTTTAAGGGTTTAAGGGTTTTAGGGTTGTAGGGTTTTAGGGTTTTAGGGTTTTAGGATTTTAGGGTTTTAGGGTATAAGAGTTTTAGGGATTTAGGGTTTTAGGGTTTAAGGGTTTTAGGGTTTTAGGATTTTCGGGGCCTACCAGAAATAGACCTAAACCTTGAAAGCCACTGGAACCTCCTCCCCAACCCCCCCCCCCCCCCAAAAAAAAAAAAAGAGACCCACCCTAAACTTTAAACCCTAAACCTTAAACCCTAAACCCTAAACCTTAAACCCTAAACCTCAAACCCTAAACCCTAAACCCTAAACCCTAAACCCTAAACCACCAAAACCCGGGGTCTCCATGGCCGTGGCCAGGCCGACCATGCCGTGGAGGGGCGTACGCACCTCCTGGGACACCTCGGAGGAGTCCCAGGGTTTCTGTTTAGGGTTAGGGTTAGGGTTTAGGGTTTAGGGTTTAGGGTTTAGGGGGTTTAGGGTTTAGGGTTTAGGGTTTAGGGTTTAGGGTTTAGGGTTTAGGGTTTAGGGTTTAGGGTTTAGGGTTTAGGGTTTAGGGTTTAGGGTTTAGGGTTTAGGGTTTAGGGTTTAGGGTTTAGGGTTTAGGGTTTAGGGTTTAGGGTTTAGGGTTAAGGGTTAAGGGTTAAGGGTTAGGGTTTAGGGTTTAGGGTTTAGTGTTTAGGGTTTAGGGTTTAGGGTTTAGGGTTAGAGTTCCGGGTTTGGGGTTTGGGAGTTCTTGCATTGTGGGGCTGGGGATATATCAACCCTCCTTTACTCAAAGCAGGCAAGCAGCGATGGCATTCAAGGACTTCTTCTTCTCCTGGCCACAAGCAATTCAGCTCTCCCCACCTAAACCCTAAACCCTAAACCCTAAACCCTAAACCCTAAACCCTAATTTCTCATCTTATGGGGATGTCAGGATCTGTGTCTACGCAAGGTCTTTCATCCGAGCGCTTGCGCAGAACTCATCTGGTGGTTCCGCTTCGTACCGGAATAGGGTCTCCTGCCTGAATTACCCTAAACCGCCTAAACCCTAAACCCTAGAAGGGCGTTCGGGCTTTCGAGGAGATGAGGGCTTCCCAAGTTTGCCCGTTCTGCTCCTTGCTTCTGTTCACTTCTCCTAGCCACATTGAGGCTCAGGTTACTGGATTGTGCCTTGTAGTCCCAGCTTCGTTCAGCATGTCACTTGCACCAGACCGTGGCCGCAAACCCTGTGGTCAATTTCGACTTGGCAAACCCAGCTTTGATCCTTGAATTTCTGAAGAACGTGAGCAAGTGGCATTCCTGTGTCACAAGAAGGCAACCCAGCAATTGAAAGAAGCCTGTAGAGTTTAGGGTTTTAAGTTTCAGGATGCTGGTTTAGGACATGTGCTTAAGACTTTACGGCGCAAGGATTGTGGCTCGCTTCTTAGCGTTCAGGGTTTGGGGTGTCAGTACGGTTCAGGCTTCAGGGTTTTGGGCGTTTAGGCTTTAGGTTTAGCTTTGCTAGGCTTGTAATCATTATGTACATTATAGCTAACCCCCCTTACCCTTATCACCCTGGTAGCACCCCCGAAATTTAAGAAACTCAACCGGGTTACGGGGAGGGACTTGCGGCTGCGGAAGAAACGCAGTTGTCTGGACTCTTTTCATGCTTGCATTCTGCTGAGCCCCATCTCCATTTGGTCTGGTGCCCAATTCGGGCGACTAAACACGCAAGGCAGAGTCGCGAGAAGCTTGTGTTCCCAAAAGCACCCGCGCTCAAGCCTTCAGCTATGGTCATAGGCGATTGTGACTGTACTGCCTTTCCTAAACTGCGTAGGGTTTCTTTTGGCACCGAATTTCAAGAGCAGCCGCTCCATCTCCAAGTGACCACTTCGGGCTGCATGTGTGAGAGCGGTGTCCCCAGACTGGGTGTGCAGGTCCTTGTCGGCGCCAGCTGCCAGCAGCAACCGCGCAGTCTCCGTGTGGCAACCGCGAGCTGCGTGAATGAGAGCCGTGTAGCCGGACCGGTTCTGCAGGTCCTTGTTGGCACCGGCTTCAAGCAACAACTGCGCCACCTTCGCGTGGCCACCTGCAACTGCATGGATGAGAGCTGTGTTGCAGTGCTTATCCTGATCGTCCTTCTCAGCACCCGCTTCCAACAGCAAATGTACCACCTTTTCCTGACCCTTTCGGGCCGCGCAGATCAAAGCCGTTGGCATTCCCTGGTCGGCCTCGCACTTCAGCAGCACACGCGCAAGTTCCACGTGGCCAGCGACCGCGGCGTGCATGAGAGCTGCGTAGGAGTACCTGCTACGCAGGTCCTTGTCAGTAGACTCCAAGAGCAACTGTACCATCTCAACATGGCCCCTAGCAACTGCAGAGCTGAGAGCTGTGTTGTGGTACCTTTCCTGCAGGGTGTTGTTTGCGCCGGCTTCCAAGAGCAAGCTCTCAACCTCCACCCCGCAATTCGCAACTGTGGCGTGTTCGTCTTCCTGCATCTGCTTGCGGAGCGGCTTGACAATCTGAGCTGTACCGCGAACCTTGCTGGGTCTAAGTAGGGAAAGCATGTCTTTGTATGAAAATAACCTTAAAAAGGCGTAACTATCCCACGAAAAAGCCTGAAGAGGAACCTAGACGGGGGAGAATAGAGGAGGGGGGGTAGTAGGGGAACGCATGAGGTTGAGGGCTTAGACCTAGACCCCCTCTAACACCCAACAAGGGAAACACAAATCGATCCCAATGGCCCACGCAAAAAGGCTGCCTAAGCCTTAAGCCCTGAACCCTTTTCGCAAACCCTAAACCCTAAACCCTAAACATCTCTAAACCCTAAACCCTAAACCCTAAGCCCTAAGCCCAAAACCCTAAACGGCCAAGGCGGGAGTTGAAACAGGAGCTGAGGCAAGCGAAGATCGCCAGCAAGGAAGCTGGCATTCTAGGGTTTAGGGCTTAGGGCCTGAATTTAGGGTTTAGGGTTCAGGGCTTTGGGTTTAGAATTCGGGGTTTAGGGCTTAAGGTTTAGGGTTTAAGTTTAGGGTTATGACGCTGGATGTGTAGCCGGGGCCACGTTTCAATAACAACTTTTATATGGAAAAGTTATGGCTCGAATATGTTTGTGGAATTTGCGCTTTATGATTTTTCCGAAGCCATACCGTGAATCGACTGCACGTCAACTTCAAGACACGGCGTTGGCGCAGCAAAAAGGAGGCTTACCCTCTGCAGACGCTTTAGAACTGTCTTTGCAGACCCGCATTATAGATGAGATTATCCTGCACCGGGGTTTCTTGAATTCCTTTCGATTTTATTATACTTCTATGACTGTTGACTCAAAAATATAGGTTTTTTCGCCGATTTTATGAAAAATCATGATTGTTATGAAAAGATTTGTGATTTCGGTCGGTTTTGTGTGCTTCTGCAATGAAAAATGATACAAAACTGACGGAAAACATACTTTTCATAAAAAATCATGAAATTTGCACAAAAACGGCGAAAAACATATATTGAGAAAAAAATACATAAATTAAAATTTTCATAAAATCGAACGAGAACCATAAACGTTTCGTAAAAATATCATAAAATCCAAAACTTTAAGAAATAACTCAAAACATAAATTTTGCACAAACATAAACACTTGGCAACCTGCCCTCTGTGGCCGCACCCGGGGTCACCAAAAAAAAGGTTTAAGGTAAAACCGTGTAACTCGCATGATGACCTTGATGCCAAGTGTGGAACCTGCTGCGTCCTCCCAACTGGACGCAGCGTCCCCGCAACTCAACTGGGAGGACGCAGCGTTCTCCCAATTTGGAGGCAGGAATCCCGCCCCTCAGCCCGAAAACATCCATTCAAAGAATAACAAGGTAAGTGGTTAGAAGGAAGGGGAATCAAGCGAAATCCCTTGAATAACTAAACGAAAAATATCCCGCTAACACGGACGGTCATCATGAAACACGTCCAGGCAGGCCAGAAGCTAAGTACTGAACTGCAGGAAAACCGGAGTCTCGAACAGTCCTGTCAAAGCCGGGGCCACCCCCGTGAATCCACTGACCTCAAACCCCACGGATTGTAGTTGTCATAGGGTCGGTAACCCTAAACGGCCAATCATTCCAATTTTTTCAGTCAGCCGCGAAGTCCCCTAAAACCTAAACCCTAAATCCTCAAGCCAACACCCGCATGCGAGGCTTTCCAAAATCCCCGTCCTCCGAGTCACTGTCGCAGCTCGTCGCTGTAGGCTGAGATGTCGGGGTCGGCATCTTCCTAGTGGCAAGAAAGACGCACCGGCCAACGAACGCTCAGATGATTTTGGGTTTAGGCTTAGGGTTTAGGCTCAGGGCTAAGGGTGGCTTCGGTGAGGAGTCTTGTCACTGCACATGTGGCAGCGTTTTGGAAAGAGCGCATGGAAAAGGCGTGCTGACAAAGAGCTCTTGGAAAGATTTCTCGTAGAACACCGAGCCCTAAACCTGCTTCTTCCGGCCCCCGTAGTTTGTCAGCACACGGAAGCCGGGCAATCTGGGCTGGGCGCGGGGCAGCAGCCTAAGTGTTCTACGATCAAGATTACATAATGCTTGAACATACTATAACCCGTCGACGCTACAACACACTTTAATCCGTCAATGCCAGGATCTCCGCTCTGTGTACTTATTTCAGCGAGACGTGCGCACGTATTGCGCTTCAACATTTAGGGTTTAGGGTAGTAGCGTTTGGGGTTAGGGTTAGGATGTAGGGTTTAGGGGTCAGGGCTTACTGTTTACGGGCTTAAGGGTGAGGGCTTCTGGTCTTACTTAGGATCTCCGAACCAATCGAATCGAAGACCCTGCGACCCTGGTATCGACGCGCAAGGGTAACCATCCGCTCAGCCCTCCCCTCCCGCACGCGCGCTCTACGAGAAGTAGTGCCCAATCTCGCAGCACACTTCTGTAGTAGCGCCCGCAGTGGACTATCCAATGGCCCCTCCGACGGCAATGGTGGCATCGCTCCCCCACAACCCTTGGCCTCTAAAAAAACACGGTCCGGGCAACGTGACGGGAGGGCGGACATTTTCAAAAACAAACCGCAGGGTCCCATCAACACAGCACCCCGGACCAATGATTGCCCACTCAGGTACCCGGCGACGTGCTGGGTAAGGCCACATGCCTTGCGCTCCAGGCGGGCAGTGACCTGACGGTACTTTCCAGCGGGCTGTCGGTGGTCTCCGATCATGAGGTCTCTAAACTTTGGTTTTTTGGATTCTTCGGCACAGTTACAAATTTTAGTAAGATTCCTTCTCATTTTGATAGGATTCCTATGAATTATAACCGTGTTCTTTCAAATTTGTTAAAGCTTCCTATTCATGTTAATATGCTTCCTATTCACTTTTATCCGGCGCCGACAAATTTTGACAGGATTCTGCACATTCCTACAGAGGATTTCAATTTGTTTTCATAAGAATTCCAATAAAGTTTCATATGGTTCCTAATTACTTTAATAAGGCTCCTACTGATTCCTATCAATTTGAATAGGGCTCTTATTGATGTTAATGGGATTCGTATTAATTATAATAGGGATCTCATTCCGGTTGGAAGGGATTCCTACTGGTTTAGGCTCATATTTCCTAAGGGGTCATGCACATTACTATTTGTTATGAGTCCTATTGGTTGCTATTATTTTTAATGAGTTTCCTTTTCAGATTCCTATTTGTTTTCATAAGAATTCCAATAAAGTTTCATATGGTTTGAAATTACTTTAACAAGGCTCCTACTAATGCAAAAAGATTCCTATCAATTTGAATAGGGCTCCTATTCATGTTAATGGGATTCGCAGTAATAATACTAGGGATCTCATTCGGTTGAGATGGGTTCCTATTGGTTTAGGATCACACTTTTT